AGAATATAGTAAAATAAAACTGTAATTATTTTATTATTCTCTTGGGTTCAGATTCCTGGTGCAATGAGTTCTTGAGAGTAAAATGAAGACAAAAACTTCCTTGTGCTCAAAGTTGTCAATTTCTTAAAAACAACTTTATATTCTGCAACAGGTCCAGAACATTTTCAGCATGACCGTATTACTCAGTTTAACTGCCAACATAAAGAGGAGAGTATTTCTTCATTTCTAGCATTATAGTGCTCCATTTGGAAGCATAGTAAATCCAGAATATTGTGATTTCTGCTAGTGTCTAACACATCCAGTACATAGTCTATCATATTTAATATAATATGTTACCCCAAGAATTCTATTTTTTCCCTCTTTAGAGTAAAAACTACTCAGAGACTGATGAAGGTAGGACAGACTACCAAAGGAAGCTCTAGCTGGTGAATCAGTTCATTTCGGTAGGCTCAGTCTATCAATAAGTGTGGACTGAGATCACACTGTGTTGTTACCACTTTGTTTGCAAGATAACTATGGCTGATATTGGCTTTGGTTTATCATGAAAACCATTATCATACAGGAGATGAAGACTATCTGTATGTGAATTTTTCTAGTACTGACCGTAAGCACAGGAGGGAAAAAAAATAGCAAAACACAAAAGCAATAGTATAGAATTAAAATTGTGTAAGCCACTTGGTTCTTTCAATAATTTGACAACAGTTACACTTTTTCCATACCTCACAGAACTGTGGTGAAATCATAATATGGGAATATTATATGCCAGATCTGAGAGGTGCCAAGAGGTTTACACATAAGGTAACTGAAGCTCCAAGAAGGTGACACAGTTTGCCTAAGAGTGTCCGTCAGACTTCATTACTGTGACAATATACCTGAGAAGATGAGCCAAAAAGGAGAAAAAGTTTATCTGGACTCATAGTTTCAGAGGTCTCAGCTTGCAGTTGCTTGGCCCTGTTGCCTTTGGGCCTGTGGCAAGGCAGAACGCAATAGCAGGGAGCATGTGGCAAAGGAAAATCTGTTTACTTCATCATGGCTGGAAAGCAAAGACAAAAGGGGCTGGCGTCCCAAGCCTATTGATGGGCAAGCCATTAGTGTACTAACTTCCTCCCATCATGTACCTCTTCTTTAGCTTGTACAACCTCCCAATAGCCCCACATGCTAGTGAACAGGCCTTTAATACATGGGCTCTGGGGTACACTTATTCAGACAGTAGCAAGTTAAGATGAGTAATTAAGAGACAAGGCTGGAATTATTCACCCTCTTTCCATCAGTGTCCAATGTCTGATATCACCCATCTCAATAAGAGACAATCCCTGCTTCGACATTCTTTCTGGCTGTTAGATTCTAGCTTACCTGATGGCATTCCCATGATCTGTTTTACCCAAGCAGGGATCTGGGAGTCCCCACTTCTTTCATTTCCACCCAAGCAGTCACCAAGGTCTGGGTTCATTGCCTGGATACCCCATCCCCTAAATATCTACAACTGTTGGCCCCTGGCCTCAATCCCTAAAATGAGTTGGAATCACATTTGTTGGAATCAACCCAAATTAGTCTCTGCTTTCCTATTTCCCTGTCCCAATACCCTACCATGTGAACTTTGTGAAGCCTAAGTAGGATCCTGTTTTTATTCTTCTGCTGAAGTCTGTAGGGGACTCTCTTTGGTACCTAACTCAGTCCAGTCTAACTATCTAATGGTTACCATTTATCCTTCTCAGCCCACTTGTAGTTCAATGCTTATTCATATTTTCATCTTTTAAATATTGTGCCCTTTTTGTTTTAAATGCCATGATTTCCATGTTTTGGGGAAAGCAAATGTTGGACCATCCTTTGGATTTAGATTGTTAAGAAACAAACCCCTGCTTTCTTATCTCCAATAGGTGTTGCTAAGCCTGTGTTCTGTGCTGTGTAGGTGTCTAGAATTAACATCTCTCTGCACTCTCCATACTTCAGCAAAATTACTTATTTGCATTCAGCCCTTGTCTAATAAACTATGAACTTCTTGAGGTGAAATATTATTTATTTTGTAATTTTACATTGTGTCTGGAACATGGTAAAATGCTGAGCTGGAAGAAATGAATGATAATTAGGGCCGAAAGTTATAGGTGAATCAAGGAAGGAGAAGATAGAGGAAGTGGGCTTTGGACCCATGTGACTTTCTTTCACTAATGAGATATTAGCAGACATGTTATGAGCCGAAGCTTAAAATGAGCTATCTATAGGTAGCCCAGACAACCTCCCAAGGGCAGAGTCCAGGAGAGATGGATGTGGGTATAAAACAGGTCATCAGGGTTCTAAAACATGGGTGTGAGATCACGTGGGGGGGGGAATTTTGAAATATTAAATTATTTTGAAATGTGAATAATTCTTTTTGTTTATCATTGTCCATTGGAACACATCTTTGAAAGTTATACATTTTAGATCTTTCTAGGCTGAGGAATGCAAACAATTGTAACACTTTGCAGAAACATTTTTCTGGAGAATCCAGTTGAAATGAGGGAAAAGGCAAATCTTGGGAGATTTCTGAATGGTGTGGGTCAGGAAGTCCACACGCATACCGCTAGGCTTGCAGAGAGCCAAGTTTCCCTTGTGATGGCAAGTCCTGCTTCGACTCTGAGATTGGCTCGCAGGAGGCACTCCCCTGCCCCTCCAATTCACACCAAGGCTCTGTTTGAACTGATATTTCTCTGCAGAGCCCCCTCCATCACTGTTATCTTATTTCCCTGACTAACCCCTGCTTTGTTAATTTTCCATTAAAGTGGAACAACCAGAATTATAGCAGTATTTTAGGAGTAGGTGAGGTGTGCAGGATTTGCAAGCATTTCCTAACATTGTGTTGCTTCTTGGGCTGCAGCCACCCAACACTCATGTCTGTGGAAATGCTAGGGTGCGCCTTCATGGCTGTGTGCTGCATTCAGCTCGTCCAAGCTCCAGAGTTGGCTCACTCACCTCTTACCACTCAGCGTTTGTGACATCAGTGCAGCAAGCTGACATGGGCCATAGTAAGAGTATTCATACTACAGAAAATGGCATACACTACATCAAAGCTTCTTTCTCTACCTAGAGAGGTGATATATCAGTGTCCTGCATACTGTATATACCTTTACTTTTGTTAATTGGTTTCTGCAGCCAATAATTTTGTATGTAAAATGAATTTTTGAACTTTTGTTCTACAAGTACATCACTTTGGAATTCTGACATTGCAATTTATATGCTGGTCATTAGATCAACTATTTTTATGGTGCTGCGAAGTAAACTCAGACTTCACACTGTGCTATGTCCCAACCCTTCTTACCGTTTTTGAGAAGGTTCTCTCTAAGTCACTAGGTTGCTCAGCATACTCTCAAACTTGTCACCTTCTTGATTTAACCTCAGAGAATTCTGTGATTATAACCATGTACCACCACACTCAGTTGGGGTCAAGTTTTATAGTCTCTGAGGTCTTTGGTTTGTTTCAAGTGAAGCATGAGGACAACTCAAGGGTAGTTATTTATAAGCCTGGAGATATCACTGTGTACTTACTGTCTACATCATTCATAAAATCCCCAAATTTGCCTCTTCTTCAGTGCATTTACATGTACTAGGTATTATGTGTGTTCTAGAGATGATTTAAAGTATATAGCAGGATGTGTGTAAATTATATGCAAATGTCACAACAGTTTGCAAAAGGGACTTGAGCAGTCACAGATTTTGGTATCTTAATAGGAGTGATGATATCAGTCCCCCGGAGATTCTGAAAGATGAGATGACTAAATTATTTCTTCCTCTTCTTTTTCTTCTCCTCCTCTTCTCCTCCATCTTCTTCCTCCTTTTCTCCTCTTCCTCCTCTTCTTTTATTGTTAGTGGGGAGTTGGTACCTGCACATAACACATCTTCATTCTTTTATTTCAACCCCCTTCCTCCCCTCCCCATCTTCACCATCTTGATCTCCTTCCCATTTGAGAAAAATTTGTCTCCCTACTTTTTATCATCTATTTTTATTTTGCTCTGTATTTTTATTTATTTATTTATTTGGTACTGGGGATCGAACTCGTGACTGTATGCTTGCAAGGCAGGTGCCGCTGAGCCCTGCTCTGTATCTATAACTCAGTTTTTACATATAAGAGAACCCATGTGATGTTTAAGCTTGTGAGTCTGGTTTATTTTAGTTAACATTCTGGGGGATGCCTGAATTTCACTGTGTGTGGGTATGTGTGGGTGTGTCCATATCAACTAACTCATTAAAAATTCATTCCATCTTTTAACATTCCAATTTGTATCATATCCTTTGTATGCAACTCTCCTAAAAGCTATGCATGATAGGCTGAATCACTGACCCAGCTTTTCCATCTACCCTCTGACTATATAACTCTACCTAAAGACATGCCCTTCCTTCTCTGGCTTTGGACCCATGTGACTTTCTTTCACTAATGAGATGTTAGCAGACATGTTATGAGCCGAAGCTTAAAATGAGTTTACACAACTAGGCTTGGCTTCATAAGTCTTTGCCTCAGCTAGGAGGAGAATACTTCCTTGCTCATCTGTTGGGTTAAGGAGTAAACACAGAGGGCAGGTCTGGATCCAGCTTGACGCCTGGAGCCAAGATGGCCTGGTGGCATGTGAGTGAGAAGCCGAAACCCCTGAGTTTTAAGGGAGATTGCTCTGCAGCGTTATTGTGACCATAACTGACTGACACATGATGTAATCTGCATGAACAACATGGATCGTAGAGGCTTTTCTCTTTTGAATTAAGAGCTCACTTTAAAAAAAAAAAACAAGTATTCTGATAAGTTAGCTAACAGTTATCAAATATCTTCTATGTTCTAGTCAGTTTCAGATGCCATAATTGAGAAAGAGACAACTTTGCTTTCTTGAAGCTGACCTTTAATTGTTTTTGTTTTTGGTACCATGAATCAAACTCATGACCTCATGCTTGCCAGGCAAGTGCTTATGCCACTGAGCTAAATTCCCAGCATCTATTGCTGTTTTTTTTTTTTCAGCAAAGAAGCCAGTAATAATATATAGATATTTAAATGAAATTTTATTTAAAACTAACTAAACAATAATATAAAATTGAATTGAATTTAAACATGCAGTTCCTTGCCTTCACCAGCCACGCTTCAAGTGCTCAACTGCCCAGGAGCTAGTGCTGTCTATATCATGCAGCACAGAGAATGTTTCCATTATTGCAGACAGTTGCACAGGGGAGTAGAATTCTACCAGGGAAAGACAACAATAAAAAGCAAGAAGTAAGCCAGCCATGGGGTGTGCCCTGTAATCCCAGATTCTGGGAAGCTGAGGCAGGAAGATCTCAAGTTTAAACTTACCTTTGGCAATTTAATGACTCAGTGAGATTCTATCTTCAAATAAAAAATTCTAAAACAAGGGCTGGGGAAGCGGTTCAGTGTGAAGGCCTTGGGTTCAAAAATACTATGATAAAAGCAAAGCAAAATAAAATAAATGAACAGAGTAATTTTGGAGCATAGTGGGAATAATGAAGAGACTAGAAGAGGAGGGATGAATAGGGAGTATGTGCAGCGGGTGCTGAGGGCTAGAAAGATGCATTTGAGTAAAGCTCTGGGGACTAATCCTACCAGCCTAGAGCACAGGAAGTGCAAAGGCCCTGAGGTGAGAAGCTCAGCATGTTTCAGAAAAGGAGAGATACATGCAACATAAGCTTGGTGAGGCCATAGAGACAGAGAGGGCAGACAGGGAGCCAGAGAGGAGCATAGGTTGGGTCCTACAGAGTCATGTATGTGTGGAAAAGGGTCTGAATTTTCATTTAATTGCAATTTTAAAAAAAAAGCACCGGACAGTTTCAACAAGGAATGACATGACTGACTTTTATTTTTTAAAATTCTGCTCTGGGCATGTGAAACAGATCTTATAAAGGTGGAATTCCAGATCTGGGGAGACAGACAGGGATGATAAATGTACCTGTAGAGAAATAAAGTGGAGACTATAAGATTGCTATCAGGATAAAGGAGTCCATGTGTACACTTTAAATTACGTCTTCATCCATGCCATGTTTATATGTTAGCTCCAAATCATTTCTTAAAGCTATAACTCTGTGTGGACCCTGATGGAAGATGGTTGCATATTCCAAAAAGATCAGCAGAGCTAAAGCTAAGAGAGTTGGGAGCTGTCTGAGAGACCTTTTTTCCCTGATGCCTCTCAGGATCTGAGCAGCAGAGGGGCGGTCAGGGCACCAGCGTGGGAATGAAAGGGGAGATCTGGGAGCTCGGCAGGAAACTGAGAAAATTATAAACATGGGCATGGCAAAAAAATACTGTAATCAGGAATATTATTTATCCCTTACGGAAAATAAAATCCTGCCATGAGTGGCAAAGTGGATGAGGCTGGAGGACACAGTGTTAAGTGAAATAATCCAGGCACAGAAAGACAAATACATGTTGAAACTTGGATAGTGAAGCTAAAAACCAAACCAAACCAAACAAAAACAACAACAAAAAGTTGATTCTATAGGAGAGTAGCCTAGTGGTTACCTGAGGCTAGGAAGGCCAGCAGGTAAGGGCACAGAAGAGTTGGATAATGGATACTGACCTGCAGTGAGAAGGGAGAAATACATTTCAGTGTACTATAGCACAGTGGGGTGCATATCACTGATAAGAGTTCATTATATATTTCCAAATAGCTGGAAGAACTTTGTATGTTTTCAACGAAAAGAAATAGTATTAAGATGGTGAAAATACTAAGTGCCCTGATTTGATCATTACACATTTTATACATGTTTAGGCATATCACACAACCCCCCATAAATATGTAAAATTATAATGATTCAATTAAAATGAAAATTTTAAAATCTAAGAGCAAATCACAAGCCATGACAAAAAAGGAAGGATTAAGGTAATAGGTATAGAATGAGCTACTACTAGAAAAATGAATGCCTGAAAAGGGAAAGGCAAGAAAGGACATTTTTTTTCCATTAATTCCCCAGCCCTGCAGAGGAGCAAACATTTGGAAAAGTCAGCAAAGGGAAAATGCATCCCATATTATGTTTCTGATTCGAGAAGACGAAAGGATTCATCAACAGCACTGACAGTGGCTTTTCTTGGAACCGTGCTGCTCACACTTTTACAAAATAATTGGGGATAATTCTTCTCCTAACTAATATTGTGACTTAGAGCAAATCTCTTAGTATCTGAGACTTTTTTTCTTCTTCACTAAGTAAGAAGATGGGGTTACCTATCAAGCCACAAGTTTTTCTCAGCTCCAAAATGAATACATGGTATGATTCACTCAAACTCAGAAAATATGAATGTGGGTGCATGTGTGTATGTGGTTTTAGAAAAGGAACAGTTTTCCAAAAGTTTCTTTTGGGAACTATATAGAAAGTAAGAGAAGACTGAGGGAAGATGGTGGAACAGTTAGCAGCAGAGTAAACAACCTCTCAGAGAGAAACAGTCCAGATGTGGAATACAACATTCTGGAGAAGACAAGAAGGAAGAAGTGGTTCCCTTCAACCCAGGAAGAAAAACTAAAGTGAGAACTGAAGCCCACTGAGAAAATAAAAGAAAAAAAGAAAAAGAACTTAAAAAAAAAAAAAACTTAAACAGAAGAAGGCGGGGCCTGGTAGGGCTTTTACCAGAGTCCGAACCACCATGCCAGAAGCGCTGCTGGCTGAGACCCATGGGCACAGTGAAGCTGGTGGCTGGCAAAGCCAATGGCCTTGGTGGGGCAGAGGGGAGCAGCAGACCAGAGAACTTCACTGGCTGGTGGTGAGTGTGTGGGACTCAGTTCTTCTGCGGGAGTGGGAGATTAGCCAGGCACCATTTTGGAGTTGGGCAGGATAAGCCTGGAGACAGAACCACAGCTGGCTTCATTCAGCCACTCCTAGCTCAGAGCAGACTGGTGGAAATTGCTTGGACTGAGTCGCCCGCTGAGTGGTCCAATAGCCACTGCCGAGGTTTCCCTAAAGGTATCCCTAACCAATTCCATCTGCCCAGCACATACTAACATGGTGAAGACTCCCAGTGGGTAACCAGCTCAGAAGGGAGGGGCCAGCCTGCCCCGCCCCTGCTTACACTCCAGTAGCCACCAGCAGATTGGGGAAAGCAGCAAACAGCAGAAATCCCACGCCAACACACTTCACAGTAATTATAACTAATACAGGAAGTGTGAGGGGTCCCACTACCCACTTGTCCAGAAGAAATCAGGATCATCACAAGAGGAAGAAGCAAAAGGCAATCTCTTGCCTCCAATCCAAGCAGTACTGGTCCAGGAGATGTAAACATAGAAGAGATTGGAAGTTGCACACCTGCAGTTTTTGAAGCAACAGCAACTGAAATAAAGGAACAACTCCATGAAGCTATAAGAACTTAAAATAGAAATACTATTAGAGGTAAAAGAAGATATGAGAAACATAATAAAAGAATTGCTAAACACCTCTAAAGAAGACACAGAGGAAAGAATAGTGGAGCATGGAAAAAGGGGAGAAACCTTCAATGACGACTATAAAAAAATTTAGAACAGATAAAACAGATTCAAAGAGATTATCAGGAACTTAAAAACTCCACTGAAATATGGCAAAACTGCTTGAAAGAAACTAAAGATAGACTATCAAACCTTGAAGACAGATTTGCAGCTTATGATTGTGAAAGGAAAGATCTCTTAAAAATAACAAGGAACCAGTAAGTAACAATGCAAAGGCTAGAAAACGACAAGAGGACCTATAACTTAAGAATAAAAAATGTGAGTGAAGAAGCAGAGGTAAACACAAATGAAATACAAAGGCTGTTTACAGAAATAATTAAAGGGAACTTTCCAAACATAGGAAAAGGAAATGATATTCAGATTTATGAGGCATATAGAACTCCAGCCAGCTATAACTAGATCTACACCCAGACATATAATAATCAAGATCCCAGAAATTACACACAAGAACAGAACATTAAAAGCTCTCAGAGAAAAGTAACAGATCACCTATAGAGGAAAACCCATCAGAATCACGGTAAACTTCTCAACACAAACAATCAAATCAAGAAGAGCTTGGAGAAGCTTGGAGCTTTGAGAAGTATTCCAAGTCCTGAAAGAAAATAACCCCCAACCCACATTGATGTATCCTGAAAAACTGTCTTTCAAAATGGAGAAACAAGATGTTTCCATGACAAAGCGGAACAGGGGGCATTTATGACCACCAATCCAACCCTACAAAAAATACTGACGGACATTATATAGAGAAAAAGACCATGGTTTCAGGACCAGTGGCAGAGTGGGCTCACTAAACAGGGTGGACAGTGGAATGAAGGGAGAAAGTAGACAACCAATGGTAGAAAAATAACATGACAGAGATGAGGCAGAGAAGGTTGGCTATAATCACTATGATAGATGGTCTCGATTCACTAATAAAAAGAGACACAGAGGGTTGGGGATTTAGCTCAGCGGCATAAGCACGTGCCTTGCAAGTGTGTGGTCATGAGTTTGATTCCTGGTACCGATAAAAAAGAAAAAGACCAAAAAAAAAAAAAAAAAGGCTTTAAAAGAGACACAGGAAGAGTGGAGATAGGGTCTGTCAATATGCCATATATAAGAAATATAATTAACCCAGAAGAGGATTTAACACTGAAAGTCAAAGATGAGAAAATAATGCTCTGTGTGACAGGGAAGCAGATAAAAGTTGGGGTATCTTGCCCGTCAGCTGTAGATTGGCTAGAAAGCCATAACACTTTTATACAATGGAAAACTACTCAGCTATAAAGAAAGAAAACCTTGAGGCTCTTGTAGGTAAATGGATACAACCTGAGATCATGCTCAAGAGGTAAAAAGGTTCAGAATCACTTAGGTAAATAGCAGACTGCCTCTCTAATCTACAAACTAAAGGAGTTAATGGGACGCAAAATGTACAATGCACCCTGTGAAAGTGAAAGGGGAGGAATTATCTAAAAAGGAAAGGTAGTGGCCATTGTTACATCTTTTATCCTGATTTGAAACTCATGTTGTTTTCATCGTTCTGTTTATTTTATTCTGTTGCAGTTTGTCTTCTTGTATTAGATTTGATGGCATGGACAGCTATTTCAAAGATAGCAGGATGTATTATGGTAACCATTTTTTATTTCCTATTAACTTGATTTGAAGCCCTGTATTGCTTTCACTGTCTTTGATTGATTTTACTCTATTCTGCTTTGTTTGATAGTATCAAGTGTGAGGGTATAGGCAACTACTCTGAGGACAATAAGATTCACTATGATATCCATTCTGGTTTGACTATTATCTTCTTTTGAAGTCCTGTAATGTCTGCAATGTTTCATTTTTATTGGTTTTGTTCTGTACTGTTTTGTTCAATTTTATTATACCTGACGATATGGGCAATTCTTTTGAAGACAGCACGAGGCATTATGGTACCTATTGTTGATCACCTTGTATTTTGTTTTTACATCATGTACTATGTCCATCTTTTTGTTTTAACTGACTCTATTTTGTTTTGTCACACTTGATTTTATTCTCTTCAAAAAAAAAGTAGTAAGAACTGTAGGAGTAATAAAACTCCAAGTGTGTAATTATTATTGTAAAAAAGAGAGGAAAAGAAAGTGCTCTAAAGGATATAACTGCCTATATGTTTAAGTGTGTAAGATAAATAACCATATTACTAAGTTTTTGTTGATCATTGACTAGAACTGTTTGCAGTCTCACTGTTTGAATGTCCCCTTTGTATGCTTTAATTTTGTAACTTGAATAACTATTTCTAAGATGACAATATGTAATCTATCAACTAGTGATTTCTTACTGTTTGTTTTTGAAATTCTGTATTACTTCTGCCCTTTTTTCTGTTTTGCTTTTTTCTCTTTAAATAAAATTTTTAAAAAGACAGTAAGAGTAGAAAAAGACCTTGTGCCTGAACTTTGTGCTAGTAATTTAATTCAGTCAAGGATAATAGATATTTACTTGGAAATAATAACTAGTGATACCTGTACAGCTAAAGAAACATCATTCCATTATGTCTATTGAGAAACATAATAAATGTGAGCAGGAAAAGAATGAAACACTATAACACCATGCAGAAATTGTACACTTTCCCCACTTGTGTCTCGCAAAATCCTTATCAAACTTAGTTGGAGCTCTTATAGTTTCCCTTCTTAGCTAGATCTTGAGTTCTTGAGAGAAAAATTTTGATTCTTCCCCCACCCTCACCTCTTACTCAGTTCCAGTCACAGAATAACTATACATCAAATGTGAGTTGAATTAACGATATGTGGTTAAAAATTATGGTTGATATGAAGAAAATAGGTGGAACAAAAGCGTTAGAGAATTCTTTAACTAAGACAGAGGTGCATATGTGAAGCTCTGGATTCCTTTTCAATCCCTAACACTACAAAAAAGAAAAGAAAAAAAAAGGAGAGAAGAGAAGAAGAAAGAAAGAGAGAGACTAAAGATGGAGATGCACTCTGCAGAGCAGAGACTCAATTATAGAAGCGCAGAGAAAAACTTTCTAAGGGATTGTATTGAAAGAATCAATAACAACAACAAAAAGAATGAGAAGGAAAAATATAGACAACTAATAACTGGAAAGACAGAGACACACAAAGATGGGGACAGAGGGAGATCTCGGGGAGATCCAGGAAAATAAGCAAAGGAGGTCCTGGGATGGAGAGCACAAGGTTGGATAAAGCTAAGAAACGAGTGAGAGGCAAGCCCACAAAGATTTCAAGTCATAATACAGGTTCATTACCTGTATCAATACATGAGAATAAAACACAGATTCATAAGATTAGGCTTAGTGGGTGAGTTTTTTGTGTTGGGGCTGAAAATAAATAATTAGAGAATATAAGTAAGAGTGGAGATTAATATTCATAATAACTAGCTCCACAAGGGAAAAGTTTCCATTATGAATACTTACAGAAGAAAAGCTCAAATTATTATTGGAAAACACAGCTGGCAGAAAGGCAAACAAACCCCCTACCTTCAACATTACACTGGGTGCCAGTCCAGTACTGGGTACTTTGAAGAATTATTTCCTTAAACTAAAAATATTAATTATGCCTTTTCACACCAGGGGAAAGACATCATATAGAAGTAAACATGCTCTTTCCTTCTTCACATACATATCTGCCTAGAAAACTGATGACAAATATGGCAAGAAATGAATGGTAAATAATATTTTTACATGGAACCTTATTTTACAGAATTCATGCTAAGAGGCTGAAGATGTAGCACAGAGGTATAGCACTTGCCTATCATGCATCAGGTCCTGGGTTCAACCTTCATTAGTAGGGAGCTTGTGGGGGGTTGGAGGGGACTAGGGAGTCTGGTGGAGGGGAGAGAGTGAATTTGTAAGAAAATTTTAACAATTTAACAAAATTACCTAAAAGAAAATGCTGAAAAGTTTGAAATTTGAAAGAATTCAAATGGTGTGGTTACTGGTTATTTTCGCCCCCTATTACATATCTGTCCACTTTTCTTTCTGGGGCACTAATCTTGGTGATTAAGGAAAAGTGCAGGAACTCAGGTGTCCATCTTCTCAAAAAGGTGGGTAAGTGATTCTCTCCCCTACACCCTTGCGTGATGTCCAGGCAATGACCTCAGCTTTGACTTCAGAAGCCCAGGTCTCAGCCGAACCTCAGCAGCAGCAGTGAAGCCAAAGCCTGGCAGTGAGTGCCCAAGCCTGTGATTTCCTGCCTGCAGACCTGGGCAGGACCTTGACTGAGCTTTGACAGACTTTTCTTCTCCGTGTCGGGGCATTCTCTGAGCATCCTTCTCCAGCCTTCCTCAATCCCAGCTGCCTGAAGCTTTCTCAACATGTTGCTATCCTGTTAAGTCTGCCTAAGCCAATTACTAAGAAACCCAACTGTTACACCAGCTTACTGCCAGTGATGATTAATCAAGTTGAAAAGAAAGAGAATGTCCTCATTAGGTCATTTATTCAATAAATATGTTGTAAGTCAATGGGATGGTTTGGGCATTATGCTAGATTGTGGCCAAACAGAGCCGACTCCTTCATTAGAACCTGCTGCTACTTATACTGCTTGGGGAGTCTGACATGTAAACTGCATTTCTAAGACTATGTGCCAATTCTCCACTGGGTATGACCAATTACCCCCAAACTAAGTGAAATAAAATAAGGATTTTTCATCTCACCCTTGTTGTGGGTCTGGAATCTGGGAGCGGCATAGCTGGGGTTTCTGGCCACAAAGTTCGGTCCAAGGGGTCAGCCAGCAAAAGGGGCTCTCATGTGCAGACTTGGCCAGAGTAAGAGGCCTCCCAAAGTTCACACACATGCTCCTGGGACACCCTCTTCCTTTCCTGGTTGTGATGACTTCTGGAGAGGCAGATGGCAGTATGATCGCTGTTTCCCTCAGAATGAGCAAATGAAGAAAATCAGAGAGGGAGACAGATAGAAGGGGAGTGTGGGGAGAAGAATGGGAGTAGAGTACAACAAAGATTAAGTGAGATGAACTTTGAACATCCATAATCTTATAGCAGTGGCCTCCCATCACATCCACCATTTTTTCTTTGTGAGACGCAGTTCACGAGGCACGACCCTCACTCAGGAACTGGGAAGACACATAGGATGAATACCAAAGGCAGGCATCACGGAGAACCATCTTGAAAGCAGCCTACCACCAAATCCCCCTTCCTGTGGATGATTTGGGCACGCCAGGTGGCAGGAGAAGGCAAAAAGAAGGAGAGAATGGGGTGGAGAATTGAGGGAAGCTTTTAGGGAAAAGTCAAACTTCACTTGAGTCCATGCAAAAAGGTTACTGAAATGTTTCTTAAAAATTAAACACAGAAGAGGGGGAGAAATGTGAATCTCTCAAGCCAACAGGTTACATTCTGCAGATGCTGCTGCCAGAATTTGCGGGGAGTTGTCAACGGTGTGCATCATTGACCACACACACTCAACACCATACCAAATGGGAGAGAGATTAAAGGTACTTAACACTCTCATCAGAAAGGGGTAGTTGGTAAGGAACACCCAGGAGGTTGCAGTCTACACAACAGGCAGCCCTAGATGTGAACCCTGAGGAAGCACAGGGTTTAAAATCCACATGTATGAGATGGAGATTTAAAAATCTGATTGGGGAAACTGGTTAACCCAAAGACAGGAAGTCATCAAAGACAAAAGGCAAGCTTGGGGTACAGATGTACAAACCAATTTTGAAAACTAAGCAGTGACCATCCATCTTGTCTTTAAAAGGCGGGAAGTCATCTCCAGAACTCGGTTCCCAGGCCATTGGCATACAAGGAGAAGGTAGATTATGACTTCCAACTAAATACCATTTGAAGACGGCCTGGGTGTAGAGTCAATAGAAGATAAATGTAAAGGTATAGAAAAAGAAAAAAATGAAAAATTAGGAGAGGAGTCTGCTTTAAAATCCTAATGGTGTTTGGGAGAAAGAATCTTGTAAGACAAAATTAAGAAAGATGAGAGGTAGGCAATGAGAAAATAAAAAGTTGGGGTCCCTGTGGAACTGATTCTGCCTCATCAAATGGTTTTAATTCCATTTTTTATACATAAGTTATAACTGGCAACCTCTGTTGAGACTGTTTTTTTATTGCCTTATGGAAATGCAAGACCAATATGATTAAAAGGCAATGTATTCACTTCCCAGGGAAGGGGAGCTGGGAACGATGAACCCAAGGCTTTTCTTCAGAGTGACATTTTTATGTTACAATTTTAATAAAAAAGAAAAGGGGGAAGAAGAGTGGGGAAAACATTTAAGTTTCATCTTCCTCACTCTGAATGATAGTGAGAGGTCAGAACACTTTCAAAACAATAGGAAAGGGCAGGATATGAAAACACCAAAACCACAACACAAAGATTATCAGGATGGGGTAAAGAGACGGGATTTGCATACCTTAGACTGATAACTCTACCGTAATACCTAAGAGAAATGATTCGCATACTGCAAAGTTGTGGTCTTTTTGGGAAAATAATGCAATATAGCAACAGATACGTTTTGTATATGCTATCCAAAATTTTAGGGTCTAGTTTGGCATGGTAATATCAATCAAAATGAACAAATGAGGGTTTTGAACCCCACCAATCAAAGAAAATAAACTTCTTTTTAAGGAGGGGAAAATCCATGAAGAAAGGCCAAGCGATACACACACACACACACACACACACACACACACACACACACCCATCCATGCACACAGGCAAACCTGTAAACACACACGATTCAGAACTCTGATAGGAATTTCTGGTTAGAATTTTCCTTAAAAAGCTAAATAAAAGATAACAGGAAACAGAGAGAAATCTTTTGCAAATGGGAAAGGGACCAAGAGATGGAAGGAGAGGGGAGAGAGAGGAGGGAAAGAGGACATGAAAATAATTAAAATGTGTTATGTACACATACCAACTCCCTTCGAGGAATGTCATTATAGACTGCAACCATATAGTAATAAAATAAAAATTTGAAAGAAAAAAAAAGAGAATGTTGATTCCTCTTGTTATGAATTGAGTCTGTAAGTTGTCAGTGTTGAAGGGCAAATAGTATCAGCAGCATATGCCTCCATCGGGTAAAGGGGACATGAAGAATGACCACCTCTTCATCTGGTTGTCTGCATTCACTTCAATCACGCCTGTATTTGGACTCGCCTAAAGAATGTCTTTGGAAATCACCACGTATGAGGTTATGGCCAGGAACACTGCCTAAGACAACCTCAGAAGAGAAACTGATGTATAAAAAGATGTATTGACTTTTGAATTTGAGAATTTTGTATTTAGGGGAATGAAGCCATCAAAACTGAAAATAGTAATAGTGGTACCATAGGCAGAAAAAAATGGGCGTGCATACTGCAAGTGTAGTGGCTACAGTATTCCCTCATCAGAATTCTCTATTAATTGGTATTTCTGCATGTCTTGATTATACTGGTAATGAATGTTCATAAATATTAATCTGAAAGGACCAAAAATTTATAAAGTATTCTCTAAATCATCAAAGACAGGCTAGGTGCTATTCAAGAAAACTTCAGAGATAAGTGAATTTACTTGAAAATTGTCAATCTATGTAATAGACAACATGCATTTCTAAACTGCAGGACAGAAAATAGCTTATTCTATTTAATTCTTAACTATTTCTAAACAATTATAAGAAAAATTTCTATGCTAACATACTGTTATTGATACCAGGACTATAGTGTTCAGTCTCTCTCTCTCTCTCTCATTATAACATAAAAAGTCTATGTTTCTCCCTCTCTGAAACTCCAGTTTTATAAAATCTTGGCTATATTTTATAATAATTTAAAGAAACAATCTCAAAAATTATTTCATTTCAGATAAATTATAAAGTTCTGGATTATTTCAAAATAAGATGCAAAACCATTATTTCTGTTAATGAACAGGAATTTCACTGCCTATTTATTCTGTCACATCTCCATTGCAGCAAAAAGGCAGCATCTATGTAACTTTAAAAATTAACCTCCAAAAAAGAAAGTGCTCTAAAAGATATAACTGCATATATATTTTAAGCATATAAGATAGGTAACCATATTACTGAGTTTTGTTGGATCATTGAACAAAACTGTTTGCAGTCTCACTGTTTGAAAGTCCACTTTATACGCTTTAATTTTGTAACTTGAACAACTATTTTTAAGATAACAATATGTAATCTATTAACTAGTGATTCCCTCCTGTTCATTCTTTCTGAAATTCTGTATAACTTGTACTCTTTTTCTGTTTTTTCTTTTTCTCCTTAAATAAAATTTAAAAAAAAAATAACCTTCAAAATAGCTGGTGATTATAGATGGCCACATCAATTCTTTGCTATGCATAGGTTTTAAATGTAATTTTACCCTTTTTATTAATTGTAGTTATGTTTATTGTGATAAAGCTTCTTTTAATTATCTCCAGTTTTTAATGACCAAGTTTTACTTTTTTATGAACCACAGTATTAACCAGATATTATAGGATTTTATTAATTATTTTAAACTATGCCAATCAAGGAAATCTATTGTGCTCTTTGGTACAAAAACTTGTATATAGAATTTGGGGGATATAAACCAAATTACATGCTCTATTTCAAACATATAAAATTAATTCAATTATGTGTATCTTAAACTGTAAAGATATTTACCCACAGGCATTATTATCTAGATATGCCATATAACTTTGCAAAAATGCTGAAAACATTATTTGTTGCTTTTTTTGAAATATGGAATCTTTGGAAATACTCTTATTATCTGTAAGTTTTATATTTCTGATTATAGTAATTATTTTCAGCTCATGCCAATAAACTCTATAAAAAACATAACACCAGAATACTTAAAAAGATGAATTCAATTTCTATCAATTGCTTTATGCCTTTATAATCTCATTAATGATAACATTCTCAATTTTTGTTAGATCATTTACCTATATTCTTAATTCTTCAGAATTCTCAAATGAATATAATCTAATTTCTCTAATATGCTGCAATCTGTTTTCTTGAGGTGATGCCTCACCATTTAAACTTTCTAAAGTAGTGCCTGTTACTTGAAATAGCATCTTAGCATAACACCCTCGTTTTTCACAACTTCTAAAGTAAAGAAAGGAAATGTTCTCCTGTTTCGGTGTTTCAGTGTACTAACAGGGAACTTTGGAGTAGTTATGAAAGCCACAGAAGGAAAAATAAAATAGTGACAAACCCCTAGCTTTACATAATTTTATACACGCTGTAATTAAATTTTTAAAAAAGTCCCTGAATTACGTTAGTAAAGTATAACATAAATGAACCAAGTGTATACTACACATTATTAAAACATTACCACTTTTTGATATAGTTCACAAAAAACAGGATAGTACTTAGGCATGTATATCAGCAAGTTCTAAAAATTACCTATGGAGTCAAATTTCATGGAAGAAAAAATTGCCAAGCAAATAAGAGAGTGAAAAAATTGAAAGCTGAATTTATTATTCATAATGGTAAAATACATTTGCCAAATATAGATACTTAATACATATTTTCCAAGTCAAGTTTTTTTGCAGTCAAATATTACCACCCACTTCATAGACTAGGAAAATACATAGGATGTGGTTAAAAGGCTAGTGGATATCAAGTACTTTATCAAAGATTAAGTGTACAAGTAATATAATCCCTATAAATTAAGGGAACTGGGGCTGGGTATAGTTTCTGCATCCTAAAAAAAAAATTACCTTTCTGACTATGTCACTGAGGTTTTGCACAAATGTTAATTAACAGCCCTTTAGATGTTCTAATGTTAAAATGAATGCACATGTACAAATAATACACATACATTTTATATTTTATACATATATACACATTATACTTGGGATGGCTTTCGACAAAACTGTGTTTTTTCACATGACTTTAAATCCTATAAGTAAAATAGACACATTATTTAGAGAGCTATTAAAAAATCTAGTCTTTAAAATAATCTGAGAATGTTATTTAAAATAGTAGTATAGAAAAGTAGACATGTGTTAAAGATATTTATATAATGAGTACTATATTGATGTATTTGTAATTGCTTTAGATGCCAGATAGCAACTTTGACACCATTACTTATAATTTATCAAAGAGATTTATGCTTTGCACCTGACATTTTATATTGAAGATTTACTTACACTGGTATATAATGTGTTTTCTGTAATTAACTCTTTGAGGTCTGATTTCATAGACACAGAAATTCTCTAACATGAATCCAACCTTCAGCAATATCTTTATCCTTGGAAATAGCAGATTAAAACATGTTAATCTTTTCCCAGTAAGATTCTCAGTTCCTGGTGTTTGTTTCAACAGTGCAAGATT